TATAAATTATATGAATATAAATATATACATGTAAATATTTTCTAATTATATACTGTATATGTGCATCTTTATATATACATAATAAATATATACAGCTCACACACATATATTATGTACAAAAAAAAACTTTTATTTTGGATGCGATTAATTGCGATTAATCGTTGCCCAGCACTAGTAAGAATGAGTTGATTTGAGACATGTTTGAAGTGTTTTAGTAATTTTAGTGCATTCTGATTTTGAGATTTACTGCTGTAATATGCTGGAAGTTGATTAGGCAAACTGTGTAAAGAGCTGAAAGTGACCTAAGTACTGATAAATAGGTTCTAGCAATAATAAAAAAGAAAAATCTGTAATAATATGTAATCACTGTGATAATGTCTAATATTATTTAAACTGTGAACTTTCATAAACATACAAATAGCTGTAGGGATTTCTAGTACATGAACGGACACTGCTATGCTCCAGGTCACGGCTCGCTGGACGACCCTTGATTTAAAGTGTAACATAACAAATTTGAAATCGGTTTAATCAGGTGAACTTCGGGATTCAGACCCGAGTCCTATCAAAACCTGAATGAATCAATAATAATTAATTCCCTTACAAATTTAAGTAGTCAAGTTATCTACATAGCACAACAGCAGATACATTTGATCATTAATTAATAAATGCAAATAAAGAGATCTCTGCATGAAAGACCCACACATGGCACATCAACGAGCTACTTGTTTTCCCTTCAATACGATAAGACCAACTGTTTGAGTAGTCTAAATTTAATGAAATAAACAATGGAGTGTGGATATGAGGATAATAACTGTGACAGACCGGTTCATGGTGACAGAATGCATGTAACTATACAACAGCCTGCAATTATGGCATGGTAATACGTCCCAAAGTTTGCCTATTATTCTGCTGCATAGTCTAAAGTATCTACTTTCTTTCACAAATAGAGTACATGCTTTTAGGGTATATAGGATAAGTAGGCAACTTGGGATGCAACAATTACATAACAATAACAAAAAAAGTAACTTCTCTCTGATTTAACAAGGTCTCAAAGTATTTTTAGCATTCCATGGTGAGTCTTTTTCTGCTAACACATTATTGATTGTGTCTTGTACACACTAACATCATTTCATGATAAATTTGTCAGCGGGCAGGCGATTCACTTTCCTCCTGAAAGAAAGAGCGGCCCGGGGCCTGTGATGTCGCAACTCCTGGGATGCTGGAAAACTGATGATATTTGACTGCTGTAGATTATCCATGGGTTCTGTGGCGTGTGAGAGGAGCTGCTGCTGGCAGTGCATTAGGGGAGGCATGTCCAGAATAGCACACTGTCAAAATGAGTTCTCACTATTTGTGTAGCGTGCACTATGTATGGATAGCTAGTAAATGTTCGCCAAAACATACAGTAGACAGCAGAAAACACGTGCATGTGTTACTGTATTCCTCATTGCATTGACCTTCAATTTCCATGTGATCAGGGCCAGAAGTAATATCAGCCACATATTTAATATTTATATTTTTATTTCTAAAAACATAACTGAATGACACTGACTCTTTTACTGTTTTTAGAAGCATTTAGTGAACAAAATGTTTATTTTGTTGATGTGCTATGTTTATGCTGACAGAAGGTTTTGTTTGGAATATTGCATATTTAGTGCACAAAATGCATTTTGTGACATGTTGAGTCATAAAATGGCATGCATGAAAACTATTGTGAACAATATGCACTTTGTGATCAAAACAACCCATGTTGTGGATGAAATGCACGTAATTCACGAAATGTAGTTATACATTGTGACATGCAGGGTCAAAAGCATTTAGACTAACATTCAACATTTTACAAAAGAAAACATTGCATAATGCTACCTGTCGTTAGTGTTTTTAGGTCTGTGTTTTATGAGTGGCAAAGTATGATGAGTTGAGGATTTGAAACATGTATGAACTGTTTTAGAAGTTTTAGAGCATTATGAATGTGAAATTAACTGCCGTACCAAGCTGAAAGATGGTTAGGAAAAGAGTGTGAAGAGTAAAAAAAAAAGATGTGTATATATATATATATATATATATAAAATTTGTTGTATTTCATCTGCAACTACACTGTGCATTTTTACAGAGATACAAATAGCACAAAAAGCACTTTGTGGTCAAAACAACCCATTTTTGTGGGTGAAATACATGAGTCTACATAAATAAATAAATGTTAAAAAAGGACAGCATTGACAAAATGCATTTTGTTGTCTATACAGGCTCTTTAGTGGACAGAATACATAATGCATGAAATGAATATTTTCACATTTTCTTCACAACATGTATTTTGTGATATGCTGGGTGGATTTTGTCCATGAAAGGTGTTTTCCATTTTCCACAAAATTTCAAGTGCATTTCACCATGAAATGGAATGAACTTGCTGGAATGGGATGTTAAGTGAAGACATAAAATCGATTTGTGGTTTAGAATAGTGTGTACTACATAATGCGATCGATGTGATGAAGGACTTTACATTTCAACAGACAAAATGCAACAGGCATTAAAGTGTAACAACATTTGTCATAGCACATTGTCTATAAATTCATCAGATCACACTTGGTGCCTTATGCAAATGTGCAGTGTACAGGAATACTGTTTTGTGGAATGCTTTATCCCATTACAAAAAATAAAAATGCCGACAAATGTAAGTTGGTACCTATAAAATTTGTACATATGTACACCATAAAAGGTGGTAACCTGCAATTGTTACATTAAGGAGTTATTTCTACCTGATTTAATCCATAACAATACATTTTGTTGATATAAATTAATGTATATATGTGGGTTGAGTGATGTTTAATAATATTTTTGACTAAAACCAGTTAGATGTCACCATTCTTTCAGTGTATACGAGATGCTGTGAAGTTATATCGTGTGAAGGAATTATTTTATTTTTTTTCACATTTTTAACAAATGTATGTATTCAATGGACATCGGTTATCATCTTCTTCATGGCTATTTAACTGGACTGTCAACAGTTCAAACGTTTTTAGACAAAACTGGACTGAAAATGTGAAATTAAGCATCAAATGTAACATTTAAACAGAGAGGCCCTGACTTCCATTTCTGAATTAGTTTTTTTCTAAACTTTTTTTTTCTCCCATAACCACTGTAATAACTGAGTCTAATGAATTCTCATCTCAGCAAGTGAATAATGGTCAGTGATTAGAGACTGACTCATTGTGCAGCTAATACTCAGATCTCTGATGTGGGCAGCTGCAGATGACTGGCTACATCAGCGGAAATGGGTTTCTTAGAAAGCAATTAGCACTAACTTGACCATTTCCTCGGCCCTTTTTACACACGTCTCTCATTTAAGTCACGGTCTAGCAGTAAGAGGAGCTGATGTCAGCAAAAAGGAATAAAAAACAGATTTGGCTAGAAATACTCAAACTAGCAAATGTGGGAAATTGATTTTAGTTCATGCTGTTGGTTTAAAATGGTAATCAACATCATTTCTGTGTCTGTACCTGATATGTACATGAATGAATGAATGAATGAATATCAATGTGATATATCAGTGTGTAGGTTAGTCAGTGTTTTTTTTTTTTGTGTATTTTTTTAACGAATACTTTATTCGGCAAGAATGCATTAAATTGATCAAAAGTGACATTATATATGGATAGTCTATGTTTTCTTTCTATTTAGGGTTCGTTTTGGTTATTTCTCCTAGTTTTCAGTTTATTTCTATGAGTCATTGTATTGATATGTTTGGTCTGTATTCAAGTCCTGTGTTTTCCTCGGTTCTTTGACTGTCTTTGTTAGATATGGTTGTGTTCTTCTGTTTGTGTTTTGCTAGTTCTAGTACCCTGGGTATTAATACTGCACTTAGATCCTGCATTTTATTTTCATTACCTGCAACAAATGCTGACACATCGAACACATTTATAATAGTGCTGCAAATACAAATACTCATCATGCAATAATACCACTATTTTTTATTTTTTTCTAAAAACTCAGTGTCACGTTATATCAATGAAACATTCAAACTAAATAATTTTTTGTGAATGCATATTGGTGATTATTGCCTCACTTAAGTGAATGGTATCTGTGGCCACTATTTCATTCGCTGATCCTTCATGTCGGAAATGACCGAACAGTATTGATTAGCCTATGTCTTGGATAAGTTTCTGATAAGTTGCGCACATGGACACATTAGACATTGATGCACAAACGTGGATGTGTTCTGTATGTCTAAAGTAAATACAGAAAGTTCAGGTTTTTTCAATGTTTCAATAAAAATATAGTCCTCCTATTTAATTAAGCTAGTTATAAACATATTTCGGTAACAATTTACTTTGCCTTTATTTATAATGCATTATAATTATATTCATTGTTACACATCAGTGTAACAAAGAATGTAATTAACATTGTTACATTGTAACATTGTTATGCATCAGTTATAATTATTTACAAGATACACTGTATTACAATGCACATTACAAATTAACACTTTATAAAGCATTATACATAAAGTCTTTAAGTAAAGTGTTACCCATATTTCCAGTATGCTTGTTTGTTATTAAAGAAACTTACATTGTGCATCAGGCTTGTTTAAATCCTCGGTGATACACACGCATGTGCGTAATGCCAGCAACTCACTCATCAGAATCCACGGTTAACCTTTGCAAACTTTGACAGTTGGTTGAATTAATAAATAAATAGTGTTATTTTGAAATGTCTTTTCATCACCAATTCCAAAAAAACAACAAAAAAAAAACATGGTTTCCACAAACATATTAAGCAGAACAGACAAAAAAACCCAAGCAGAAAAAAGTCCAAGTGCTATTTTACTGTTAGCATGCAGCACTCATCTAATGCTGATCAGCCAATCAAATCAGAACATTTTATACAACACTGCTGTGTACCGTTAGTGATCCTTTTCAAGTCGCTAGACGGCAGTTTTGGCTTTTGAGGCTGTCATTCAATGTATTTTGAAGAATGCATCAAGTCTATCCTTCACATCCTCCAATCACTCAAAATGCTGAGGAGGAGTCGAGCCTAAAAGCCTCACAAGTACTGGTCTGGAAAAGAGCCTCACTAGCATGCAGCCTTCTCTTGAGAAGCACCCCACACGTGCCATACCATACTGGTACTAGGGACTTTAAGCAACGGCTGCAATGAAACAGCATTCTGGCATTCTATTGCGCATGCACAACTTTAGCTACTACTCCGTGATGTTGTACTGTAAGAGTCTTCTATGGGAGAATAGCTTATTTTCCATAGTAAGTAAATGTTATGTTTTGGCAGTGGCAGTGAAATTCAAAAAAGTCACCAATTCCAATACGACTTGAGTACAAGTGTTAAGAGTGTCTGATTTTAGCAGTACTTTAGGTATTTTAATCATACTGAATATAGGCTCAGAGATGCACTAGTCCTCAACAAGAAAAGTTCAAAACAAGAAACATTTTATTTCTAAAGAGAGGATTCACATGTTTATTTTCTAAAATAAAAAAAATAATAATATTGAACACCTCAATATTGCAATGAATCAAGGTCAACACAACAGCCTCCACATCTACACACACTGTAGTCTCAGTTGAGCTCAAGTACTCAAAAAGGGCATACTGTAAGTAAACCAAAAACACTGTGTCTTTCAAAAAATAATGTGCACAATACACAGTAGTATTTATGAGATCCAGGGAGTATACATACAGCTTCAACATGTTGTCTGTCAGAGACGATACCTAATACGTAACACAAGAGTATACATTTGTTCTTCACTCGCTGAAACCGACTTGTGATTTTTATGAAATGTAGATCGCTTTCTTCTCAGCTGTTTAAAAGAATGTGTTCACATTCCCATAAAGTAGCTTTGTTGACAAGTTTGGGTAAGTAAGGGCAAAACGATCACGATCTAGTACCTTCAGTGCCCTGTAGATCATGATATCACCTCTTTTGTAGCAGAAATAAATTGCTGCAGAAAAAGCATGTCAAATGCAATGAGCATTTGCATTACATACCACATACCGAAACGTAAACAAAAGCAGCGCTTGCTTACCATTTAGAATTTCAGTTATGTTGATACTTTCTTCATTTTAATTGGCTCATGTTGTTATGAAAATATTCACATATCGGAATGTTTGGGAAAGATCATGTAACATTAGAACACAGCCTTCTGTCTAAGCCACCTTCATTTATTTACTCGTTTTCATTATTATTGGTTTAATTCTCGTGCACTGATTAGTTCGCTAAACTGAACGTCCTATCAGAGTTCTCACTCTCCCTGACGGCCCAGATGACAATTCAACATGTTGAATCGGGGAAACTGCCGCCGATGTGAGCCCAACGAGAGCCGATGTGTGGAACACACCAAACAAATTAAACTAGCCCGACAGACGCTCGCCGACGACCCAACCATCGACTTGGTGTGTCCCGGCCTTTAAGTACAGTCACTGATTACATTGACTCAAATACTTTACAACACTGGACAACTTTTAGTATCTGGCTGCAGGTGGAGAGCTGATTGGCATTTAGTGTTGTTTATACATGCTTGTGGTGACATTTCTGCAACACTGATATGTGACCCTGGGCCACAAAACCAGTCATAAGGGTCAATTTATTTAAATATCTGGAATCTGAGGGTGTAAAAAAATAAAAATATTGAGAAAATCACCTATAAAGTTGTCCAAATGAAGTCCTTAGCAATGCATATTACTAATCAAAAATTAAGTTTGTATTAATATTTGTAAATTAATATTTGCAGTAGGAAATTTACTAAATATATTCATGGAACATGATCTTTACTTAATACCCTAATGATTTTTGGCATAAAAGAAAAATCGATAATTTTGACCCATACAATGTTTTTTTGGCTATTGCTACAAATATACCCCAGCGACTTAAGGCTGGTTTTGTGGTCCAGGGTCAGATATTATGTACCTTACTGTACATTTCGCAGTAGTTTCAAAGTGAAATGTCCAGTTATTACGGCGGCCGAGAGAACTCAACACACTGCAACTATAGAAAACACATGCAAATAGAAAAAGCACCGGCAAATTAAGAAAACATATTCATCAGTTTGACAGCACATGTGCTGCAAATACTCATTGTGAACCGAGTGAAAAGGTTATGCAGTTACAAGCAGATCCCTAACTAGGCAGCAATTTAACAGTGTCCTTTACTCCATTTCCTTATAATGAGAGCTATAATCCCAACAGTGCAAGAGCTGCAAAAATACTTTCTGGATTGGAATGACGTGATGGCAGATTTTTTTTTTCTTTTTGGCTGAACCACTCCTACAATATCTGGAAACCAGGAGAAATTTAACAGCAGTAGTGAAGTCAAACCTTGTGATTGCTTTCTTTCCTTTTATCTGTTTCTTCTCTTTCTCTGTCATTCGTGTCCTCTCTTCTACTGTTAGTTTTGTCAGGCAGATATAAGGGCTCAGTGTGTCTGACTTTGCTTTTTGATTTCAGTTTGTCATTCACATAAGAGCAGAAAGCCCTCCCAAGGACTTAGTGGCCTCTCTCAGGCAGAATACTAATGAAAGTGCCTCTCTTCTCTCTTCATTTTTCTTTCTGCAAGCTGTGAAGCCACAAATCTTAATCACAGAAAGTGAAATGGCATGGGATTGCTCGCCACCTCCATGATAAGAGAGTCCAAACAACGCTTGTGACCCCATCTTCACAGGGCTCTGAAGTTAAAATTAAGAATCCGACCTCTGCACACCAGGAAACCCTCAGTCCTGAGGAGCTGCTGTTTGGCTCCTTTTACCCATGGGTCTTTATGGCAAAATAGTGGCTTATACCAAAGCTACTAAGCACTGTCTTGTCTTTACATTTTCAGATAATCTTTTTTAAAGTCACAATAGGATGATATACTGTACAGTATAAGGTCCAAAACACTCACCTAGTGCTGAACGAGAGTAAAAAGGTATTTGGCTAAGAAGGAAAACTATGGAAGCCTTTTTCCACCACTGAATAAAATAAATAAATAAATAAATAAATACAAATAAAAAAGGTAATTGCACCTTTTCAATCTCACTGTTCTTTTTTTTTTTCTCACAATCTTTTTTTTCCAAAATTGTGTGATATAAACTCACATTTCTGAGTGTTCTAAAGTCAAGACATAAACTCACAGTGGTAAGAACCCCTGCCCTTGATCATGTTTGTCAACAGTCAACTTTATGAAATGTAAGATGATGTACAGGTCTGCATTAAATGTTATTTGTCCATAACTAATTGATTAAATTAACATGCTAATATGACAAACCTGATATTTTGCTGTGTACTTACAGTACATTATAACAAATGTTTCAAACAAATCTCAAGTGTCTCATGCAAGCCACCAAGCTAATGCATACAGTAACAAACAACACTTAAAGGGATAGTTCACCCAAAAATTAAAATTTGATGTTTATCTGCTTACCCCCAGGGCATCCAAGATGTAGGTGACTTTGTTTCTTCAGTAGAACACAAACATAAATTTTTAACTCAAACCGTTGCAGTCTGTCAGTCATATAATGAAAGTGAATGGGAATAATGGCTTTGAGAGTCAAAACAAATTGACACTCCTAATTGAGATTGTAGATAGAGTGTCAATGGTCCATTTGAGAGATAGATGGCGGTAATGCACTTATAAGTATGCGATCCGCCGTAAAGCAAGAAGAAGAAGAAGACGCGTCATGCGCCGGCTGTTGAGAACGCGCTCAAGACAGTTCGGACATTGCGGTGAATCAGAGGTAAAAGAACAATATAAATACTGTTCAGTTTCTTGCACAGACAGATCGTTTGTGTATGTTTTTTTTGACTCTCAAAGCCGTGATTCCCATTCACTTCCATTATATGACTGAAAGACTGCAACGGTTTGAGTTAAAAATCTTCGTTTGTGTTCTACTGAAGAAACAAAGTCACCTACATCTTGGATGCTCTGGCGGTAAGCAGATAAACATCACATTTTCATTTTTGGGTGAACTATCCATTTAACACATTGAAATATATTTTTAGTACTTGATGATTGTGTTGACTATGTAAAACAGTGCTGTGTTATTCCACAATTTAATTTGACAAATAAAGTGATTGTCTCTGGTCACTTGTTCCCTGAAAAAAAATGTGAACGAGAACTGATGAGAACATTCTTTGTTCGACCGGTTGTGAAGCATATGTGACAAACACGTCAATAATTTGACTTAACCTCAGTCAGGAATGTCATTGGAATGAGTGCTTCTGAGAGGTTATAAATAAATGTTAAACAGACACACCTTTAGGTTATACGTTTATCTGAAGGGATGTCCAGAAATGTCCACAGTGTGGCAATGACCCCTCAAGGTTGTGTTGTACGCACAAACATTGAAGAGGTCTCAGAAATTACTTTGGGATGTTGACTCAAGGAAATGCAAGCAAGGAATAGCACCGACATCCAAACTATAGAATCTGATGAACGTGTGGGAGGAGGACCAACCTGCCGCACCACACACTTGCTGCATGGAGACATCTCTTGCTAGAACCTTACGCAAACCCCTGGTTAAATGCAACATCCCTGGTTACGTCCTAGAGGGAAATCTTGGCTGCATGCCTCTTAGGCTAGGGCAATAGCATCCCTCACCCACTGTGGCATTGTTTGTCTAGTGGCAGCCGCCCCCCGGTTGCGGCCCCCATGGCATATAAAAAGCTACTTCAACTTAAGGCACTGGCTGGTGCAGTGGACATAAATCTGAAGAGTATGAACTGGACACAATAAGTGAAGTCCTTCTTGCTCCAGTGTTGCAAATGGCGGAGGGCATAAGGCTTCAAGAATGACCGGATGTATGGTCGAGAATGGAACTTTAGGAAGATAATTAGGCTGAGGATGCAAAATAGCTTTGACCCAGCCCAGGGGCAAAGTTTAAGCAGGATGGCGAGACTGACAGAGCCTGTAAATCTACAATTGTCTTTAGAGAAGTGACAGACATTAGAAAAACCATCTTCATAGTCAGAAGCTTGACAGGCGATATTAGATCTGAGAACCACACTCTGGTCATCCATTGAGGCACTATTAGTAAAAGCTGAGACCTTTGTTGATGGACCTTGGCCAGGACTCCCTGGAGCAGAGTGGTTGGGAGAAATGTTGAAATGCTGTCTGAGCCACGTATGGGCCATTGCGTCCAGACCCAGGGGAGTGGGAGAAGAAAACCATCTTCATAGTCAGAAGCTTGACAGGCGATATTAGATCTGAGAACCACACTCTGGTCATCCATTGAGGCACTATTAGTAAAAGCTGAGACCTTTGTTGATGGACCTTGGCCAGGACTCCCTGGAGCAGAGTGGTTGGGAGAAATGTTGAAATGCTGTCTGAGCCACGTATGGGCCATTGCGTCCAGACCCAGGGGAGTGGGAGAAGTCAGAGAGAAGTGTGCTGTCTCCTGCGAAGCAAAGATAGCCTGTTCAGGCAGCGCGAACACAGTCCGCCTTGGCACGTTATGTAACTACCGCAGTGTTGTCCACCCGCACTACATGGTAGCCACTTAACTGCTGGAGGAAGTATTTCAGGGCCTGAAATACAACCATTATTTCCAGGCAGTGGATGTGCCAGTTGAGAAAATGACCTCTCCAGATCCCTTGGGCTGGATTGCCATTTAAGACTGCACCCCAGCCCGTGAGGGAAGCGTCTGTCATTAATATCTTGTGACGACAACACGCACCTGGAATGGGACCCAAAGTCAGAAACCGGGGTCTGAACATAGAAATGGTATGAAGCCCCCAGTGCGTAACCCTTATCTGCCTCTGGGGATTGGCCCTTGGATGAAATCCCCTGGCTCTTAGCCACACCTGAAACAGTCTCATGTGCAGGAGGCCTAAAAGTATCACCGTGGATGCAGCCGCCATGAGACCTAGAACTTTTTAAAAGTAATGGACAGTAACTTTCTATCCTAGCTTGTTGTTCTTTAGGATGTTTAGAATGGATTCAACATGTGCAGGAGACAGCTGTGCCCGCATCGTGATCCATACATTTCGTATATGTGCAGAGTATTAAGGCTAGGCCGAACTGAAGAACCCGATACAGGTAAGCATCGCCCCGAAAGTGAACCTCAGGAATGTCCTGTGTTGTGGAAATATTTCTACATCAAAGTATGCGTCATTGAAGTCGATTGTTGTCAGCATTTTGAACTTGTATGTTCGTAGGTAGCGGTACAACCCACAAAGATCCAAAATTGGACACAACCCCCCATCTATTTTGGGAACCAGAGGGGAACATGTTCTATGGCCCCTTTGTCCAGCAGAGCTTGCAATTCCTGTTTCAACAAATGCCCTTGTTCCAGTTTCACAGTAGTGAAGACCATGCCGTTGAAACATGAAGAATGCAAACTGTATTCTGCAGCCCTTTTCAATGGTCTTTAGGACTTAAGGAGAGATATTTGGCAGTAATTTCCATTCTGTCATACTCTCTGTAAGGGGCACTAGTTTTGACACTTTGTTTTGATGTACCACATGTGACGGAGATTGGACAGATTCCCTAAGAGTGCTGGGAAGGAGCTCTTAACGTTCATTGGGATTTTTTTTGTGGGAGGGGGCACATCCCCTGTGTCCTGGGCGCACAAGCTTAAGGACCTATATTTTGCTGCAATGACCGTTCTCAGGTCCGGCTTGTGGAGTGTGGCGAGCCGCTCCCCAGTTTTTGTGAGGAGGCACATGACTTTCCACGCTCTCCTTCTGGGCTTCTCACCTCAGAAAAGCCGGACCTGGTCGGGACTGGGTGGCCGACAGCCCCGACGCTTGAGCACGGTGGGTGAGAAACTTTACGAGAGCTTCTTTGTACCTTTTTTCTCCCAGGAACCTACTGACGGCCGCATTAATGGAGCCATCAGATACGGAATCAAGGAGGAACACCCGGTCTCTGTCCTTCATCCCCGTGAGGTTCAACCACAGGTGCCTCTCTGTGGCAACCATAGCAGCCATAAAACAGCCGCTATGAGTCCAGATGGACTTTTCATAAATTTCATATTGATGGTGGGAGATTCAAATGGTAAGGGATAGTCTGTGGTTAACAAGAACTAATAGGTGTTCCAAATTAGTGGAGAGACAGGATAAAACCTGCTGTTCCTGTCCTGGGGAGGAGGGTGACTTGGAGAGCATGCTGTGCTTGTGCCTGATCTGTGGAGTTATTGATGCTGAAAAGCCCTTGCATGCATTGATTAATTAATTAATTCATTCACTTCTGAGCAGTTATTAGTGATTGGACAATTGATACCGCAGCTCCGATGCTCCGACGCAGTTTTCAAACCACTATTGTATCACACACTGTGCCGATGCTTGTATCGAAATGACAACACCACGTGATTGACGATGTTTGAAGCTTCGAACGTCATGCAGTATCGAAAGGTCGGGACAGCTGGTTTGAAAAAACTGGCGCTTCACGATCCCACCTGATGCATAAAAGGATTATTCAGTCACTTTGAGGGCTGTCAATAGGACATTTAATCATGTTTATAACTGGGGTCTCAGAGATCACACACAACATAAGGGTATAACAGCTCACCCAAAATATATATATTTTTTAACCTATCCACGACAATTATTAATTATGATCACATGTTTGTGTATTTTATATTATTGATCGATATGTGAATCCGTTGACCAAGCTATACATGACAAGAGTTGTGGTCTCATTGGCACAAATTCATTTAGATGAGATTATATCAGATTAGACATTGTATTGATCCCAGATTGATTCCACTCTTGAATGTCACAGATTTCCAAAGATTTTGGTCACATGCTTTTTCAAACCATCCTCTGCTCTGCAATGATTTATCAGAAATGGTGGAGAAAACAAAGTCCGACCACCAGATGCCGCTAATGCACACTGTGTTAAAAGCTTTGAGTAATGAACTTTTTTTCGGCACAATTTCACGAAAGCCTCAAACGCTTCAGAAAGCCTCGGTTTCCCATCACTAGCAGTTATTGTTAGATTAAAAATACTCAACATGCAGATGCGCTCTGACCTGCCTCCTATTTCTGACAAGCCCTTATCCATGTTTATTTTACGTGATCCAAAAAATGGTTGTGTATGGAACCTAAAAGAAGATCATTTGAGAGAGAGCTCAGCTCAGGCATTTTTGACCCAACATCTTAAATTTGAAGGGAAAATAACTTAATTTTCTAGACTATCATGCAGTGAGTTCTTGCCCTGCATCATGTTTGTCAACAGTCAACTTTATGAAATGTAAGATGACGTACAGGTCTGGGGTGGGGCAGGAAACTTTGTTTGTGACAGGCTTCCACAGAGTGCATATTAATACATATACTGACACTGACCATGACCTGTCTGAGGATGATGTCCAGTCCACTCTAGAAAAAAAAAAGATCCTCATCAACCCAGTGCACCTGATTGTAAGAATCCAAATAGTACTGCTTATACTCTTCCAAAGGTTGGTCATTTTGAAGCAGACAGACCTTGTGGGTGAGTGTAGAGAACTCTGCTGTTAAATCCACGGTGAGGTCTTGTGTTCTGTCATGGTGGGTCAGGCATTGTGAGGAGGAAGGATCTGTTTGTAGCACTATTAATAATTATTAACAGAGAAAAAGAAATGGCATATGGCAGCGTAAATGCCACAAGACAAAAAAAAACTGAACAAACTGAGGGCATGATAGACAGATGGTGTTTTTACAGGGGGTAAAACAAGAAAAAGGTGTGTAACATAATTAGTGTCTTTGGCAACAAATGAGAAGCGGGAACAAGGAAAACAAAGGAAGCAAGAAAAAAAAACAGGATAACCAGGTCAAACAAACTAGAACCATGAAACTGAGCATAACTGTGACAAATATGCTCCATCAGTGACAGAAATGGAGAGGGAAATAACAAATCTTGGGAGAAACCAGGCTCAGTCTACTCATTCTACTGTATGGATGTAAATTGACTTTCCCTTCAGCCTGAGGCTTATTCATTTCACTTTTGGTGTGAAAAGGCTTTTATATTTGCCAAAAATAGAACTTTTTTTATTTTAAAAACAAACAAGCAAGCCCTGTCCAGATTTAAAAAGTAATGCAAAAGTAACGTAATGCATTACTTTCCATAAAAAGTAACTAAGTAACGTAATTAGTTACTTTTTTATGGAGTAACGCTATATTGTAATGCATTACTTTTAAGAGTAACTTTCCGCAGCACTGCACATCACAATGAAAATACTTGATTAGGAATAATGGTGTGAAAGGAAACTTCAGACTGGAGCTTTGTAGAGTTTTGAAAATGTTCCTCTTCTGAAAATAGTACTTAACATGCCCCTGCAGATATGTAATTGATAAAAGGGGCTTTTTGGAATAGGCTTTTGGCTTTTTAATGCTTTCAGAGAAAAGATGACATAAGGATCAATTTTCTCCTTTTTCTTTTCCTGTTCTGCTGTGGCCAGAGCAGAACTTCACCACATAATGCACTGACATTTAATCGATAACCAATCACCCACACAGCAATGCTTTGATTTGTATTTGTTTAACCTGAGGGTGAGATATTTCCAGATACTGATAATGAATACTTTTTTTGTTTTTGTTTTTTTTTTCTTCTTCAAATTGCTTCATCCTGCTGGTAAAGTGAGTTGCTTGCGCTATAGGTGTGTGGTTTGGGTGTTCATGAGGTCCTTCAGAGAGCTCTCTCGAGTGAATTCTCTTAACGACAAAGTGCTGTATGTGATAAGTTGTGTCTTCTGCTAACATGCCAGATATTAAAATGCTTCCATTGAATCCTTCTATTCAAGCATCTTCATTAAAAGCAAGTAGAATGAAAAGTGTGTCCTTGATAAGATTTCATTCTGTTGCATTTGGACTGATACAAATTGTTACCATTGTTCCAAAAGAAGCAATGAAAATGCTTATTGGATTATATTACTGATTTTTTTCCCCCTTCTATTTGAAGAATTTTAATTGTGTTGCTGAAATACATTAAATCTGACAGACTCTATTGATACTTTCTGCTAGATGCATTATATGCACTCCCCTTGTATACTTGTGTACATCAGTATAGCCAGGTTAAGTCAAGTCAAGTCAAGTCAAGTCTGCTTTATTGTCAACTTTAAGTCTGCGTGGTTGAAATCCCCAGCCAAGATGAGAAAAGCATCGGGGTGGGCTGTCTGCTGCTCACTGATGTGCTGGTACAGTTCATTTAGTGCCTCGCTCCTGTTGTTGTTGTTGGAGCTGGGAGGGATGTATACAGCAACGAGCAGTATGGCTGTATATTCCCTCGGTAGCTAGAACGGCCGGCACTGTTCTATCTGTTAAGCTGGCTAATGAAGATCATGACAAGCTACACTCACAGAAAGGAAGCTTTACCACTGTAATATTGTGCCTTCGGGACTTACAAATGCACAAGCAATAATACAAAGACATGACAAGAGTTTTGTGATCAAAATTGTCCTAATTTTATCTGCCCTTTCAATTACAGGTTCAATTTTAACAGAGCCGAGTGCTTTGCTAGGACTGTGCTCTTAGTATTGGAAATGCTTTAAATGTGCACATGATGTTGTTGTTCTTCTTCACACAATTAGAATATTGAGCAATATTTATCCAAACTATATCAATAGTCTCAATGTGAGATCTCACACGTTCATTCTAATTGTAGAACAATGAGTTCACATCAACACTCAAGCTGAAACAGGATAGTTGTATGATGGTTGAGTTCAGAGGTGTAAGACAATACAAATTTATAAACGACGTTCACATTTGACCACTTAGGTCAGAGTCTTCACCTTGTCCTGTTCCTGGAGTGCCACTGTGCTGCAGAATTTAGCTTCAACCCCAATTAAACACGCATGAACTGGTTAATCAAGTTCTTCAGGGTTACTAGAAACATCTAGGCAGATGTGTTGGGCGAGTTGGAGCTAAACTCTGCAAGATGTTGGCCCTCCAGGAGCAGGATTGGACACCCTTGGGAAATGGTCAGCATATACTAAAGTTTCACATGTCTTTTTGCTGCTTAATATTTTTGTGGAAACCAACTAACGAGCTAACAAACTAACTAAATAGCTAACTGTTTATTTATTTCGTTTTTAACACTTTATTGCCACAGTCCAAATTCTCTTGACTATAAGTAACATTGCAGTTATATGTCAGCTTAAGAGATGTCAGCTGGGCGATTTTGGTTAATTCTGGCATCAATGGGCAACCAGGTGAGGCCCAGGGCTCACAACTGATTTATAGTGTCCAGATATAAATTTTTACCCATTCTTAGTGGGAAAGTGCCCGAACAATCCCAGGTAAAAAAAAAAAGTACACTTCCATCATTTACTTAAAGTGCTCTATTTTCGCGCACTAATTTTGTACTTAATGTACTAAAAATTATTATTTAGTACCTAAACATTAAGATCATCTAAGTGTACTCAACCGTGCTATTTTGGGACACCATGAAGATGAACTAAAATGCGCTTTTAACATGCTA